TGAGCCTCGTCCTTTTGGTGGAGGTGTCAGCTGAGTCTTGGCTTTTCAATGTTGGGCCATGTGTTTGTGGAGTGGAGTGTTTTCAGTAAACGTGGTCCTCTGCATCATGGCCAAACATCACTGATTTGATCTTGTCTAGCCAAAGGACATCGCTCCTAAGCTTTGCTGCCATGTTCTTTTTAGAGAGAAGGGCTTTTTGCTGGCATCCCCACTAAAAGAGTCATACTTGTTCATGCTTTTTTTGTAAATGTACTGTCATGAACTTTAACATTTAACATGTTTACTGAGGCTCATATAGCCTGAGTAGTTTGGGTGCAGCATTAGAATTCGTTTTTCTGAGCATTACACGGTCTGACCTTGGGGTAAATTTGCCGGGACATTAAGACTGGCAACTGTTTTAAGTGTCTTCCAGTTCTGAAAAATCTCTCTCACTACAGCGTGATGGACTTCAACATTTTTTAAATGGAAAATTATCTTATATGACTTCCCAGACGAGTTAAATTTTCACAGTTTTCTGCCTTTTGTTTTAGGTTTTGTTAAATAAATAATGATACGCTGTAATAGGCCATGCTTTGTAATTCATCTGAGATTGTATTTACCTAGCACCTGCTTAGGACTAGATTACACTTAAGTCCTGATATGTAAGCCATTAGAATCAAAAGTGAGTGTACTTTCTTTTCACCATGGCTCTACAGTCATCTTTTCAGGCATGGGCTTGACACTGATGTACCAATTAGTGGCAGGATGTCATTATGGTGCATGTAAGTGCACAATTAAGTAAATAGAAAGGATGCAATCTTAGGATAAGTTTTGGCCTTTAAGGAAAGCATTCATTGTCAGGTTCCTGGATGAAACTGTAAAAAATATAATCAATCTTTTTGGGCCAGATTTCTTTTCCACAGCGTTTTATACTTCCACATCCACATTTACGCATGTAATGAATGAATGCTTGAATGACATCGTAATATTGTGTTACAGTTCTGTAATTTACAGCAATATGCAAAAATCACTCCCCGGGCTTACCTCAACATCCTGTGAAAAAGCAAAGTGTGATCAATATAATACCAAATGTATGCAAAACAGTCGTAAATCACGGATTATATTTCATACTGAAAAAAAAGACCTGTGAAGCTGTGAATCAATTTATACAATTCATCTCAATCATCTAATATTTCACTTTGAGGTGCTGGTGCATAGGAATGGGGTTTTGTGTGTGTGTGTGTGTGTGTGCGTGTGTGAGAGAGAAACCCAGTAGACTGTGGAGGTGAGAAAAATAAGGGCTGTGGAATAAGTCTTGCATCTGCATATCAAAGAAGGTGTGGAGGGAAGTGTAGAAAATGATGAGAAAAGAACTGTAGTATGTTTCTACAAATGCATAGAGTGTGAAGTAGGTTCTTATGGGAGCAAAATCATTACGAAGACAAAGCTAATGTTCTTTTGACAAATGACAGTGGATTTGATAAGCACAGTAAGTACCACAGTAAGATAACATGGCATAATACACATGTTTAATTAATGACACTGCAAGGCAAGTACCAACCTACTGTGAGCTGAGCCTTTCTGGTTAGACTTACCCCGGCTCAACTTTCCATCGTTAACAGAAATAAATTGAAACAAAGATGAAAGTTTAGTGGGGTCGATGAATACAAAATACATTCTGGTTAAACAAAAATTTTCCCCACAGAATTTGACACTGATTTAAATAATGGATACACAGAGTAACACCTTTCTTTTTTGTTTCCTCTAGTCTCTCTTCAAAACGTACTGAACCATGTACTGTCGGTCTATTTAAATGCTTTTCGTGTTTCGTTTCAGACATACTCTGCACCTAGAGACGTGTGCGTTCTTTATCCAAACAGGCACATCAGCCTGGAAGTGCACTTTGCCTGTCATCTGCATGTAATCAGCCAAGTGTGCCTTTAACTGCAGGGAACCATATAAGTGTAGCTAAGTATGCATCTTGCAATTAGCATAGAAATTTTTCTAGCTTCAAAGCACAGGTGCAAATTGCACAGGTGTAAGAAAATGAAGGCTGAGATGGAAAACAGGAAAAGTTCTCTATAAATGTTCTCTCTGAAGTGTGACTTAACTTCTTGGAAAGATAAATAACCACAATACCTAACTAATTCCAAACAGAAAAAGTGGATGGAGAGCTGTGGCTGAGTGGTCATTTTACTTGATGTTCAGAACTGAAAATAGGGCCCTTTTAAGAGCCAAGTAGATTTGTCTGCAGTTACCTTGACAGTGTCAGGGAAACTCTTTATGGAAATCATTAGTGAATTACAATTTTACCTAAGTTGAAAAAAACCCATATAAGTCTCAGCTAGAGCCAAAAATGTTTATCCATAATGTTTGTAACTTTGCAATTATCTAACTTTTATTTTAATGTCTTTTTTTTGGTTTTTGACTGTCTCTTAAGACTTCCAAGTCACTGTGCCAGTGAGCGTCACAGAGCACAACAACCATACTTAAAGGATGCTTAGTAATCAGCAAAATGTATTTCTGAGTATAGACCTTGCCAAACAACCTTAGGGTGTATAAAGGTGAGACATTCACTAAAAAGGAGGAACATGAAAAGTTAATAGTGTTGTAACTTCTCTTTGGTATTTCACTGTTTGACAATTTCTTCATTTTTAAGGGATTAATTCCTGCTATTAAGGGAGCTTTGATTAATTCTTGCCTGCAAGAAAGGATTTGAAGAAATTTAAAAAGAAAAAACATTAAAGAAAGTTTTTAAATTTTAAGAAATTTAAAAGCAGGGACCAAAAACACATTTTAACAATATCATATACACTATATTATTTTATATTGATCTCATAAGGTAAAAAAAAAAAACAGTATGTCACTCATTGTGTGTCTCAGGTCTGCCAACGCTAGTTGTTTCAATTTTGTAATGTCATCAGAGTCCTGGTCTTGAGTACATGTGTATTTACTCTCTGTATTTAATATAACCCAGCTCATGGAGTTGGAGCCTGGAGGATCAGGCCGCACTGTGCAGCCTACTGTTTGAGGGCAAAGGGATAAAGACTGCCTCTTTGCCAGGGTTTATAATCCTCAAACTGTGCCTTTGTCTCATCTGTCAAACTGTGCCTTGTTGAGTGTATTAGTGGAAGTTACCAACTGGTTTAGCCTCACAAACCTTTAGGAAACCTTGGACCTTTAGTCCCCAGTTTAAGCTCTGGACATGTCAGTCTTTCTTCCAAACTGTCTAAAGATAACTCTTCAGTCCCTGTTTAACTTAGAGCTGATAAGGTGATCACAGGTAACTATCACAACTAACCCCTGAGTGGTTTCTGTTATATTCCAGGAATGCTTTTAGAACAAAACGACTGGTTGTGCATCAGAAGTTAGTGAGGTTGATGTCTGCAGCTTCTCTTGGAAAAACCCGAGGCGTATACTAAGTGTCTATACTCGTCATTGTGGGTACAGAGAAGGTCGTCAGATGTTGCCTTTATGGGGGAGTTAAACCATAGCTTTTCATTCCTTTGAATGCTCTGAAGCCTCTTAATTTATAACATGAGGTCCAAACAAAACTCTGAGAAAAATATTTTCAGTTTGTATTTACCTGTTCTGTATACTTTGGTAATTAGTTGACATTTCCTGAACGCATGAAAAAACAGTGTTAGATTGGTCATCTTTTACAATAACTCACTCTAGCTAATAGATGCATTAGTCTGATTCTTTCTGTTTAACAGCTTCTCTACGTTCCAATAACATCTTCAAGGACGCTGCTGACACGACTGTGTCGAGTGTTAAATCCCAAATAAATGAAACTTAATAGCATTTAGAACTGCTTCTTTTGAAAGCTGTTTATATTAAGAATATAGGGATATTAAAGCAGAAGTGTCCTTTTTTATACACTTATCTGTGGATTACTGAAATGCTGAATTCTCTGAGGAATTATGTGAAATTACAGTACCTGAATTATAGCACACTTCTGAGAGAAGACTTCACACAAACACCTTACAAAGGCTCTTATGTTAATATTATTCAAATTGCTTCTTTGACTATAATTTGACCATTTTAAAATGAAATTAATGGTGTAAAACTGCAGACTCGAAACACTTACCTTGTGTTCACCACCCTTACTGGGTACACAGAGATTTTAGCAGGACGACGATGCCCAAAGAAACTATTAATACATTCGGATAAATTCTACCTAGATCTAAAATTTTAGCCATTTTTGAAAGACGGAAAGGTTTCTCTCCGTTTCTTAAAAGTATGCGCTGTAAAGTCATGACCCTGTGCCAAGCACAACTATTATGACCCATAGGGCAGAGCAGTTGAAAAGCATTTTATGGTTACCCTGCTGAAAGCAGTGCCTATATAGTATGCGCATGAGATAGTGACGACAGACACAGAGAATGTGAGATATAGGCTGAGCATGTTTACCGTGGATACTGTATTTGTGCATAAATAGACCCTATCATCTCTCAGTGTTGAGCATTTCCTCACAGACAGCATGTGACTTATCAGAGTGAGCCAGGTTTTCAGAGAGCTGACAGTTTAAGGAGAACTGCCATGGGATAAGTCTCAATCCTCACTCAACCATTACACTCTCATGCCCTTCTCTCTCTCTCTGTCACACACACGTATCTACATAGACATGCACACACACACACACACTGAAGCAAGCACAGACGCAGCAACCCAATGGCAAACCCTGACTACGGATTTTCAGAGCTGCCTCAATGTGTCTCTCGAGATGCAGAAAAACTGTTCAGATGTGAAACAGCAGGTCTCGAGGGAAGACTAAGTGTCTACAAGTTTAGTTGGAAATAATATAAAAACAGATTCTTTTTTCAATAGATAAGAAAACAATAAAAGGGAAAGAAAAAGCATAAACTTATAGAACGAGACACGATTCTAGGTAAGATTAAAGAAAAGTGAAGAACAACATAATGAACAGTCACTGACAATTGAAAGAAAAAAGACATGACACATGAACATTAGTCTGTATAGTCATGTAAGTGTAATGCATGTACTTGTACACTAGTTACCGGAAGGTCATTTGGAATATCTGTCCCAAGTTGACTTGCTGGGTTTTGTTGTTGTATCCATGCAGCATCTCACCAAACAGGGTGTCATTGAAGTAGACATCCTGCTTAGGGCATTTTGGTCCATCACAGTTGTCTGACTGCAGGAGACAGGAGCGCCCATCGCCTGCCAGCTTGTACTCTTGTACGCATCTGAGGAGGAAGGAAACACTGTCAATACAATGTATGATATGCAATCTAGGAGACCTTGTTTACACTTGAGGTGAAAGCATAGTGCTGGCAAGATTTGAAACAGAAGATTGAGCTGTAGCAGGCTGATTGTGATTTGAAAGACTGACATTATATACAAGGCTGTTCCCATGTTCCTACTTTAATTTTCAATCTATAAAGACCAATACAGAGAAACTCAGCATGCCAAAATTGTACCGATTTTCTTTAGAATTCCCTCAGACTAATAACAGCCTGACACAGACAATCACAACCAATGTTTTGAAAAGACATTTTTCCAGGTTTTCAGTTTATATACCATTAAATCTACTTTGTTACTGTCAAAGCCTTTTAAATATGCAAAGTGCTACAGTAGCAATTATCAATGGCGAGTTTGTGGACACAAGCACTCTGGTGAAAACCATTTTAAAACAGATTCCAATGGCACTGGATTCAGCAGACTCTGCAGTTAGTCACAATTATAGCTTCCACTATTGTGTGCAATCCTGTCTTACAGACCAGGCTGAGCAGTTAGTGCTGCTGGATAGGGCTGAGCGCAGGACTCATGCAATTGTTCATGTCTCTTCACCTCGGTGGGAAGGAGATGTCAACTGCTGTTGGCAATACTCAGATCTGGTGGAACAGGGGCTTTCTGTAGTTGAAGGCAAATCTGTTTCCATTTTTGTAAATGAACAATTTGTATAATTACAGAACAAAGTTATACCATTCAGATGATTTTATTAATTTAATCTGTTTTTTCCCACAGGCCACTTTTAAAAAGCATTGTGCATTTATTACAGAACATGTGGGTATACAGGCTAGTGATTTAGTAAAATACACTTATGAAATTAAACAGGATATCATGGTAAATGGACAGAGCCTCAACGTTCATGTTTGCCCACAGTGTAAGGGTACCAAATGATCTGGGGAAAATGAGGACATCATTCCAGATCAGACACAGATCAAGAATGAGGGCATGCTTCATGTTTCTTTAGGCTTCTGCTGTTAGGTTTCCATCAAAAAGTCAACAGATGCATTTAGACATGCTTTCTAAGTATCCTTTTATCAGTTATCAGGTCCCAGGAATTAAGCAACTTTCACTGGCATGATCAGAACAGTTTCCATAAATGATCAGCCAGTCTTGAGATATAAATACCCTCAAAGAAGACAGCTATTTAAAGGAAAATGGGAAGGACAACCCTAAAGCTAACAAAAACACTGACAGAAGTACTTCCTGTATTTTTGGTTACTATTTGTAGCCCTTTTTCAGACCTTTCATGTTTGGAGCAACAATATAATATTTAATATTGCTCCAGGAATATCACTGCTTTTAGAAATTGGGTAAAAAGACCAATATAGAAGTTCAGGTCTTTGTGGCAGAAATACTCACTAACCTGAAGGGTTTTATTCAGTGTAGATCATTCTTTTCTTTAACCTAACCTTAAAATGGTTCCATGTCCCAAAGCTGAGCACATAACAGAAAAATTATGATAACAATAAATTCTAAACGAGAAAAAAATATTTAATCAGCCAGATAAGAACGACCTTGTTTCTTTTTTCATGCAAACTCTAGTCTCACAGATGGAAGTCCTGTGTTTGACCCATTTGTTCACTATTCACATCTTTTCCAGCTGCCACGGACCACAGTGCAGTAGTTTTTTTTCAGTGTTTTTCATCAAGTTGCAAAGTAACAGTGTGATTGCACTGGGGAATCTAAGCAGTCTGCACTCAAATGGAAACCTAAGTATTTACAATATACTGGGTACAATCAAAAAGTTCTATGAATAAGTGCAAACAAAAACTATACCTAATTGAAATTTGGCATGATTTCCCCTTCAAGAATATCTTCATTCTACAAAATGACCATCACACAGAGGCTCACTGTCAGCCAAAGTTGAAGTTTTTTAGCTAAGAGTCCAGTTTCATTGAATGTCATGTCAAGGGTGGTACCAGGATAATAGTCATCCTCTTTGTTTTCAACATTCACAAGGATGTGCACTACCAAAAGATCCCCCTGCCTCAGACTGTCAATGCAAAGCTCCATTTGTACCATGCAGAGAACTTTGGCATGTGCCATGTTGTGCTGGAACTTAGTGCACTGACAAGGCTGGAGTTTTTTTTTAATCTACACATATAAAATCCTCACAGACCCATCAGATTTGCCTCCCTGTGACTTCCACTGCTTCCACAAAATGAAAATCAGGTTAAAGGTTCACTGTTTTGACGCAGTACCTCCGTAACATTCAGGCACACGTGCCAAGAGAACAGAACGGGGTTTCCACTGAGCAGTCTAAAAATAGTAGCTGGGCTAGAAGCTGTGAACACGATCTCAGAGGTGAGATTCACTAATATTACTTGTATGAGGTTTGAATTGTTTGGACAAATTCATGCAAGTTTTCTTTCCACATCTTTGTATTGTGTATGTTTTTGTAGATTATGCTCGTAATGGCTATACTAGAACTGTATGATATGTATTTGTCAATCTATCTATATGGCTTTCTAGCTATAGTGTATTCACTGGTTATTTCGTATTTAGTATTTTTTGAAAATTTACATTTGTGTAATCGAACCATCACTCATGAAACCTACTTCCAAAGAAAGCTTTATTGGCACCCTGCAGATGTCTTCTCTTTCTCTATTTACTACTAGCTATTCTCACCCGCAAAACATGAGTACGTTGCTGGAACTTGGGTCATCTTCAAGGGGCACAAGCTGCTGGAGACACAGCTGTTCACAACCTCCATTGAAGCCATCCGTACAGTCAATGCCCCTGGAGTAGTCATAGCAACCTGAGCCATCCTTCATTGGCCTCAGCCCCTCAGGACACTGTAAGAAAAAGAAAGAAGGAAAGGTGGTGGGAGGAACACAAGCAGGGGGTGAGGATAAAGGCACAGAATAAGAATAGAGAAGAAGAGAGTAAAACACATAGGTCAGAATGTGCATTTTAATCAGGATTGAAAAGTACTGAGAGGACAGAGATAGTAAGACTGAGAAGATAAGACAGTAGTAGTAGGGAGTAAGACTTTCAGAAAGAACAAATTCAAGAAAAGAAGAATTTAAGCCAATTATATTTTTCTGATACAACACAATAAAAGGTGGAGGCGCTTAAAGGATTAGAAAATTAAACAACGGCAGCTTGGAATCGTTACCACAGCTCATTTTACTACCTGAGCAGAAAGTCCCCCCTCAGTTCACACAAAGGCTTGTGTTGGTGTTGGTGTTTTTTGTTTTTTTTTTTAATGCCAGACAGAAAGAAAAAACTCAGAGGCGAAAGATTTAGACACAAGCACCAGCAATTAAACTGATTATCATTTGTGAAATCATTCCACGCTGATAGAAGTGTGATAAAAGAAAATAATAAACTTAAGCATTGCAAATGAGCCAAGGGATTTCAAGAAACAGAAATAGCCACTCTTGTTTGCTGGAAATTAAGTCAACTGATACTTTTTACATGGATAATAATTAGCAAAGTCATTAGTGGCTCACTAAAAAGTGGCGCCCTACCTTGCAGTAAATTATTGATACCACAAGCTTTTATCACTGGGTTGTTGTTGTGACATTTCATTTCAATATGAAGTATTAGTTCAACTTTGAGTTCCCATCAACCAAACAAAAAACAAATCACATTTATCTGAGTATGTCAACTCAAGCCAGAAATCTGAGGAGGAACAATGGGTCCAGCACCCTAGTCATTTGCCTGGCTAATTTAAAGTGCAGAATTTAATTTATGAAGTGGATTTTTAAATGAATTATATTTCCTCCAGCATAAGAAATACTAATTATTCAGAACTGCAAAAGCAGCAGATGTATTATATAAGAAAGTTGGACTCCATTAAAAATGTAATGTTACTAACAATAAATAACTTCTTGACTTAATAGCTTACGCTCATAAATTATATTGCATTATTCATCTCATATGTAAACAAGATGCTTATTACACAAACAAAACAAAAAGGTCAGACTTTTCTGCTGGCTCAGCTTAACTGTCAAGTCAACCAACATGCTGCTAAAACAATATTGATAAGTGTTATAATATCAAAAAGCATAAAAAAAATGTGTGTGTGTGTTCATTGTTCTAACAATTAACAGAATATTAAAATATTATACATTCTATATATAAATCATATATCATATATTTTCACTGAAGCTGAAGCTTTGCCGGCTCCACGATGTGAATCTCTCATACCATCACATGCTAAAGAATCTCTCATGGACTGATGTCTGATGACAGCTGAGCACAGTGAACTCCTTCTTATGTTCAAGAAACCAGTTTGAGATGATTTGAGCTTTGTGACATGGCATGTATCCTGTTAGAACCAGCCATCAGAAGATTCGTATGATGGTAGAAGTCATAAAGGGATGTACATGCTCATCAACAAGGTTCAGGTAGGCTGCAGTATTGCTATCATGCATAGTTAATTCTAAGGAAGTTAAAGCAAGAAAACATCCAAGAAACTACCCTCCATATCATTACACCACCGGCAGAGTGATATACTGGAGTGAACCTTTGATACAAGGTAGGATGGATGCATGCTTTCATCTTATTTCAACCAAATTATGACACTACTATCCAAATACAGCAGCAGAAATCATCTTTCCAATCTTCTATTGTCCAGTTTTGGTCGGCTCATGCAAAGACGCGGTTTCCTGTTTTTACCTGACATGAGTGGCACCTGGCATGATTCTTTTCCTGCTGTAGCTTCTCTGATTCAAGGGCATTATTATATATCCTGTATTTAAGCACTAAAAAGTCTGATTGGAATTTTTAAAAATATATATATTTCAAGAGACACCTGGTTAAGGGCGCAGCAGAAATTGCAGCAAATATAATACAAGTGAAGAAAGAAACACATTTCTTCTGGACATCTTGATGGCAACGAGTGGTTATTTCAGGTATTGATGCCTTCCCATAAGTTTGAAATAGTCTAACTATTTGCTCTGAGTTCTGACATCAACAAGGCACTCCTAGAGAACTTACTGCATACTTGCAGCTCACTGGATATTTTCTCTTTTTTGGACTATTCTCTGCAAACCCTAGTTATGGCTGTGCAGGAAAATCCCAGGAGATTAACAGTTCCTGAATTACTGAGATCAGACAGTTTGGCATCAGCAACATTGTATCACCTTTCTTCTCCATTCTGATGGTGAGTTAATAATAATAATGGTTTATATGACGATTTATATAGCGCTTTTCAAGGCACCTAAAGCGCTTTACAGCGCCACTATTCATTCACTCTCGCATTCATACACTGGTGGAGGCAGCTACAGTTGTAGCCACAGCTGCCCTGGGGCAGACTGACAGAAGCGAGCCTGCCATATCACGCCATCAGCCCCTCTGGCCAACTCCAGTAGGCGGTAGGGTAAAGTGTCTTGCCCAAGGACACAACGACAGAGGGATCAAACCAGCGACCTTCCGGTTACAGATGCGCTTCCCAAACCCCTGAGCCACGGTAGCCCTAGAGTTTGAACTTTAGCTGGTCATCTTGAATGCACTGAGTTGTTGCTATGTGATTGACTGATTAGATATTTGGATTATTTGTTGCATTTTTTAACATTTGTTTTCTAGTTGGCAATTTTTTTATAACTGCACCAGGAAGGCCACATCCAACTACTGCAGTATACAGCAATAACCTTTGAATTAGCTTAACTAAACAGAAAACAAATCATTCCTCTGTGTAGTGAGAACCAGGATCCAGGAGCCCTGACTTTCACAAGTTAACGTATGTCATTACTGAGATGTTATATAATGTTTCCTACAAAGTGTGACATTACATGCTGGAAAACAACAACAGAATTACCACCCCATATGAGTTTCCAGTAGGATGCATATAGTCTCAGAGATACTATAAATAGTTTCCATCTCATCTTTGAATATTTGACAGGTTTCAGCTGTGGTCAATTTACACTTTCAGATGTGAGCCACATGCTGAAAATGTGTTGGTTTTGCCAGCCTTTCAGTTTCAAGTGTTGCTGTAATGTCTTCCTTGCTTGTATTGATATCTGCCTCTCTTTGCTAAGAAACGAGGACTGTGAGAGACTGAGTTACATCAGTTTTCTAGTCCACAGTTCAATTCTTTCACTAACTGTTACTCTGACTCATCTAGACTCCTCAAGTTCTGTGTGCCAGCATAGGATATTTTTGTAGGCGTGCAATGACAAACAGCTAAAATGTCTGTTGGTTGTGGTGTATTTATTCTTAAAGAACAAAAAAAAAACAAAAAAACAATGCTATATACTAAACACTACATATTTCTCAAAGTTCAGAAAGTTAAATGACTTTATTATTTCTCTGAGAACTTTTTCTTAGGTTAGGAAGCACAAAGGAAGAGGTGGTGTTAAAGGGTCTAGTGCATGTAAGGAAGGTTCACTGACATCATTAGTCACATGCCTGCAAACACAGTTGTATAGACGCTAAAGGGAAAACTATGTGTAGCTATTTATTAATGACTGACATAGGCAAGGACTCACATCCAAAGGCACCCTTTTTCCCTCAGTTCTGGTCATCAGATGAGAAGGAAAACAACAGAGAAGTGGTATATATTGTTGTTTTGGACTAGAACAGTTGGCATTTCTACCTCCTAGAGATAGAGGCGTACGAGGTGTGTGAACTTTTATCTCCAACAGCTTTCAACTATCATAGTCGTTATGTTTCCCTGGTTTTCTGCTTAAAGATTTCCAAAGAGATTATTAATCTCATTAAATCCAGCAGAACTGTACAATTTAAGTAACACCATTTATTAGTAACTACAACGACACATAACATATTAGCATTTCTGGAAACAAATGCTTTATAGTAGAACCATTTAAAGGCCATCTTTTCTTTCTCTTTTGCTCAGACTGTTTCAAATCCTCATTTAGTCCAAAACAATGATCATCAGGATCAATCTTATTTTGAAAGGTTTCCTGAGATCAGAAATAAGACTTTTTCTTTGGCATAAGCCTTCTGGAGAAACAATTACATAAATCATATGGTTGTTTTAAATAAAGCTTATGCAATACAGGACATTAGCAGAGAAATCAAGTTAGAAATGAGATAAAGACTAATAATGTTAGAGATCTTTGGAAATGCATGAAGTCTATTAGAAAAAATGGGAATGTTCATTAATTTTCTAATACATCTAAAACACTTAGGCCATTTATATGTATAAATATATATTTAAAAAATCCCTATTCGGCCTGGGTGCAGTCTTTATCCTCTAAGCTCAGGTCCTCTTTCAGTGTCCTGAGAGCTTGCGGATCTTGCTTAATATCTTTGTTGTTCCTAGCAAGAGACTTGCCCTTTGTAAATAGGATAACCAGGTGTCACACGTGGAGGAGTACAAAGAAGCTTTATCCTTTGTCCCCATTCCCAGATACTGAGTCAATGTTCTGCAGTTGGTCTGGCTCTAGTTTTCAGTCATCAATGCAGGAGAGACATATTTACACAGTATTGCTCATATCCAGAGGCTGTGAAGAAAGCGAGCAAATATATCATCGTGGGTCAAAAAAGCTTTGCAGATTTTTCGTGGAACATGGTGAACAAACAAGTAAAAGGAAATGCAGCAACAAATATTAAATCGATTGAAGCTGGTGGAAGTCAAGCGAGTTTTTGCACTTTTTGTACCTTTTTTTGACATGAAGTGACACAGTAAGGAAGTAAGCAGGTGAGTCTCACACAAAGTATGGAAAAGTGTGTCTCGCAGACGTGCCCTTTGCTTTGGTCTGACATGCTGTTGCTGCTCTAGTGCAACATCCAATAGGTTGCTTATTGCTCCTTTACTCAGTTTAAGACTTTTCTAGTAGATAAAGTGTGCCAAAAGCTCTGAAATATCTACCAGTAAATTCTTAAAATGAGTTATATACACTGATCAGTCATTACATTATTATTAGGTGTTAGTTGAAGTGAATAACATGATTATCTCAACTTATTATCTCCACAAGGATCTTTCTACCTACCTACCTATCTATAAATCACAGTTTCTTTAATATCACATGGATGACCATTGCATTTGTATATGTTACTTGGGAATGCCCGTTACTAGCATGCACTACGGGAAGAAAGTGTGATGGTTTGGTCAATGTTCTGCTGTGAAACCTTGGGTCCTGCCATCCACGTAGATGTTACTTTGACACATACCACCTACCTAAGCATTACTGCAGACCACATACACCCTTTCATGGAAACAGTATTCCCTGATGGCGGTAGCCTCTTTCAGCAGCGTAATGTGATCTGCCACAAAGCAAAACGTTTCAGGAATGGTTTAAGAAACAGAACAACGTGTTTAGGTGTTGTGTCTGTGGGATGTGCTGGATAAACAAATAGATGCCCTACTGCACAACATACAAGAATTACAGGATCTGTTGCTAACATTTTGGTGCCTCAACAGGTCAGGGCTGATTTAGCAGCAATGCAATATTAGTCTGGTGGTCATAATGTTATGCCTGATTGGTGTATATATGAAGTGAAAAATGTAGATGTGAGGACAATCTAGGCAGTGAACAAGCACGGAGCTGACACTTTCACATATGTCGGGCTTTAATTTATACACTTTTCTGTATCAAATTCATGCCTCAAGGATGCGTTTTCCATTCTCAATAATCTACACTAACAAGTGCTCAAGTAAGTACAGAAAATAGTCTGTCTTGCATTGAACTTAGTCAAAGGAGAGGTGAAAGTTCTTCTGATTGTTGGTTTGCATGCCAAGGCTTTATTTTTGCTCAAAAGTTCTCTGAGGCCCAAGAGCACAATTTAGAATCCTACGCGATCATCACCCACCTGTGCTTCAGAACTGTCTTAGAAGGGATCAAGGCTGTTTGTCTCCACTTATGAGAAGATTAAACTCATAATTCGATGTCTCATAATTTAAACATTGTGCTATGTTATAATATCTGTCTGTATGAAGATGAAATTAATGCAGTATGGGTACACTTCCTTTTAATTTTATCCTTTTTTTAAATTTGTATTTTTGTTTATATTGCGGGAGTCATTTTTGGATTTTATAAAACATATTATTCAATTACATTTGTTGATCTCCTGAGAAAACCAAAGCCAGAAACAATAAAGAAAAAACTATGAATTATGCATTGCTCATGTGTGTTCTACACAAAATCCCATATGTTCAGCATTCGGTGGAAGAGCACTTTAGTCTCTGACAAGATTGGAGTTATTCATCACATTAGAGCAGAGCAGTGGGAATAGCTATCTGTAATTCAGAATTGCTATGCAGCTCTCTGTGGTTGAATGAAAGTTCTTAAGGTTAGCCATTAGTGCAGCCCATGAGCTACTTGCTCTTTCTGCCTGGACAACTCTCCAAAGACACAAGGGTTCGGGAGTGGAACAATTTGTATTTGAGACAAATGAATTCCACTCAGTTCTTCTGAAGCGATTCTGTGATGGCAGCACACCAAGAACAAGCCAGTAGTGAGAACTTTTATACTTGTAGACACAACTTTCTTGCCTCTTATTTTGTTTGTATAGTAAATCATCTTGACAGCTGATCACTAATGTATAATTAAAACAAATGGTAATTTTATATAATTTGTATGTTATTTAATATATTAAATATTTAAAGGAACGTGTTTATATATATTTTTTGTCTTTTAGAGGGTTTAACTGCATGTTTAAATGTGATGGATTTGAGGCTTTTATATTAGTGTTCAGCCTTTAAACCTTGTCCCTGAACGTAGACACTTGACATCAATGTAGAACACCCATCATCGAGGGTAGCATATGTATGTACTCTCTGGGGGCTATTTAAGGGAGAATTTCATGACAGCATTAAGAATGGGACTAATGGCATTTCACTCCTGTTAATTCCTTGCGGAGTAAAAGTGTAGGGTAAGTAGGCCTGAAAAAATTAACAAAAAATGAGTGAAGAAAGTGTGTAAGAAATATAGCTGTGCATGTAGCCGATCTTTCTGCACATTATACACTGCACATAGATCACCCCTCCAAATTAACATTCTGAATGAATGCAAGTCATTTCCCCAATCACCCATTAGGGCTTCTGCCTAAATCAGGAACTGAGTATAATCTATTTAGAACTCTTTTCCATGACGATCATCTCAAAATTAAGATGCTAGATGTTTGTACTTAGTAGCCATCAGATATTTTGGAGAAGGAAAAGGCAGTGTGAAAAGCTGAGGATAATAAAGAAACAATATGTTTAAAAGATGTGCACTGGGTCTTCCACGGGACAAGAAAATATATATATTTAGAAAAAAACAGGAGAGCTTTAAATAACAATGGCAGGCAGAGGAAAAAAATCAAATATTTTAAAAGCATATTCGACAGCCTAATCTAGTTTAGAGATGGCAGTGATGCATGCCCTGCGGCTCTTCTGCTGCTTAAATGTGTTAAATTAGGCTCCACAGTTTTATTGCCCTAAGAGCAAACAAACTTACTAAAGAATGTATTGCGTCTTGTGAGTTTAACTGGGATATCCCAGTTTGGAGGTTTATCCTAGTTTTGATGACATCTGGGATATGAGATTTATGTGCAACACAGACAAATCTGGTTTTGCATGTCCCTGTACACATTGGCAAATATTAGTATCCTTTTTGCTAATTAGTGCTTGGTATTTGCACAGGTGCTTGTGATGTCTGTAAACATACACTGTTAGTTTTGGAAGTGCTGACAAAATCTGACATTTGGAAGACTAGCATCCTGCAATCTATTTAGAGACTTGTCGGCATCTAGGTACAATCACTCATCCAAAGTAAAAAGTATATTACATTGTTTTTTATTACAAAAAGTGAAAAGAAATATGTATCTTTCCATGCTTCAAAAGTAAGGCTCTATTACTGAGCCTTATACTGTTTTATATCAATTGGCTATAGTGCCCTCCCAGATAGTTAACAGCATGCGCTTTGGATATACACAGCACATCCAGCCTTATCTGGATTTTGAGCTGGAGCTAATCCATTTAATATAGTACAGTTGTGATGTAACGTATAAATGTGCAAAGTTAAAAATAAGATGGGTTAACAAATCATGAGAGGGACATGTGTGTACATATATCTGAACGAAATGAATGCTTTAAACCAAGAAACACCAAAATGCAGTTGTAATGAGGTGCAATGAGCTGCACTTGGCAGAACAGGGGGAAACGACATGATGTTCGTTTGTAAGGAACACAGATTAGTAGGGGCATACATGGGATTTTGAGAGTTTTCATGAGTGTTGTGTTTGGGCAGACATGCCTTTTATCCTCTCTGTTAACTGATGTAAACTAGAGGCTGGCAAGAAGAAATCTGGGTCCACACTGACAAGGCATCATTTAAGTCTTGATTTTTCGAGTGTGCCACATCTTTTAATAAACTCTTGCATTCAGGGACAGTATAGAAGTTAAAATTACATCGGAGACAACAATATCTGTCTTCTGTAAACAACACACGTATGACAGGCCAAAATGAAAATGTGAATTTATTGCTGCTTGAAGCTAAAAGGCAAAAATACATCTTTGCCAACACTACATTCAAGCAACTTTACCAGAGATGTCCCAAAAGAGACATTATCTCAGGAAAAATATGCCACTAATATCCCTCCATCTGTTCAGTGTACGAGTATTACCATTGGAAGGACATATACTGTAGCAGAATATGGCAATGTGCTACAAAGAAAAAAAAAAGAAGCACTGTATCATTATCAGATGTCAAATTTAAAGCATGAAAATGGCCAATTACCAAAAGAAAGCCATGGTTACAGAGATAACGACTTGATTTTTTTAAAAAAGGAAATGGATATAATATATTCATCTATCCTAGGAATACCAGGTAAAATAAAAGTGACCAGCTCTTTCCCATTAGAGACCCGTCACTGGTGGAATGATTTGCCTGTGGACATCAGAATGGCAAATTCTTTATTGCCTTTTAAATCCCTGCATAAAACATACATTAAAATCAAAGAGCTTTTATTTCATCATCCCTGTCTTTTTTCCCTAATGCCTCTTATACGATCATTGGTTAGTTTGCACAGGTGTACTTTGAATTCCTATTTAAATGAACAATAACTTAACCAAGCAGAATAAATTAATTTCCCCCCCACTTCTCTTTTTTTTCCTACAATTAAGTCATAACAAATATGCAATAAAATGGCTTTAAAGTGAACAGCTTGTGATTCTTAAGACAAGTGATAAAAAAGGAAGCGAGTGACATCCTGTCTTTCTAAGAATCTGTAGAAAGTGAACACAGTCAAAATGGAATAACAGATATCTCCAGAACGTACACACTGGGGCTGACTAGAATTTAATTCATTGCAAATGCATTTCAGCTGTCTTAAGAGCAGCAGACAGCCTTAAGGGACTGGCTCTGAAAATGGATTTTAAGCCTTCCGTGTGACATGTTGGTGCTCTGTGTTAGCACCCATTCTGACAAGGGTGGTTAAAATTACACCAACCCAGGAGAGTAAGAAAAGCAAATAATACTGCCGTGTCTGTGATTCTCTGAGTTAATCTCTGAAGACTAGAGGGTTTTGTCAGTGTTTTTGTCTGAGTATTAATCACACAGAGGCGTGAGACCGTTTGGAATTATTTCAGAGTATTTTTTTTTTCTATCTAGCTTTTGAAAATGTGAGTTGAAAAGAAGTCTTCTCAAGCTGACTAACCCTTTAACTGATAGCCAGATTTTTTTTAAAAAGAAAAAAGAAGGTTGAATTATACCGCACAGAGGAAAACAACTGCTGCTCACAATAGAATTTTGTTTGACTCATCAGAAATAAATCATAATCTTGTTATTTGGCGATTACTGAATGCTGACCAGTTTCAACTAAACTCAAAGCCCAAAGGAGCAAAAGCATAACTGTGATCAATGTAAAACAAATGATGCTATCCCAGTTTGACAATTAAAGGAAGAAAGACAAAAAGTTAGGAACTAAAAGATGCAAAGCTGTGACTTAAAAAAAACATAATGCTGATCATGTAGACTTCTTGTTCTGGGAGGTAGTGTGGTCCGGTCTTATATCTACTAGCCATTTGACATATGCGATGGTGTTGGAGATGCCTATTTCTTCCAGTATTGCTGAGTCACAGTTCTAGTTGGTCTACCCTTATGCCTTGTTCACCTTAAAGTAAAACTTACACCTTTCGAAATGTGCTGGTATGTGTATGTTTAACACAGCATTTACGTTCATGGTGAATGGTCTCTGTTTGGTACTTTTTCACTTTTTAACTGGCGGTTACTTACCGAGTGTTTTTCAGACAAGTCGCCATCTTCCATGCAAACATCAGCTGAATGTACCAATATGCTATTAACCAAAGAAATTTTCTGCTAACCTTGGTTATAATGAGCTGTTAATTTAGTTATTGTTGGCTTCCTCCAGCTTAAACTAGTCGGGTCATTTCCCCCTGACCCCTGGCTTCAACAAGCAGATTTTGCCCAGAGTACTTCCGCTTAAGATGGATGGAAAAATTCCAGTAAATTAACAGTTTCTGAAATACTCGGACCAGCCAGTCTGGCACCAATAATCATTGCCACATTCCAAGTCACTTAAATCAACTTTCTTTCTCACTCTGATGCTTAATTTCAACTTCAGCAGTCTTGACCAAGTTTAGTGTATATGCATATACAATCTACGGCTGCCATAGATGCAGCATCAGCTGCTAATGTTGTGGGTGGAGTGGGTTTATTAATATGGATTCATTGTCAGAGTAACCAAATTAGTGGTAAACTGTAGGGAAAAACTGGCAAAGGGGGTGGGAGAATAACTTGATTTATGTAGAAACATGTTCATTAAAGTGCTGAAGTCTTCTTCTGCCTTGGTGAAGTCTGCCAGCCATGGTGTACATTGCTCCTTAATGACAGTGTCATGAATCAGTTTTTTTGTCATTCATCATTCGTAATCAGTGCCAGACAAATTACTGCAGGTTGTGTAATCACTGTATAATAAATGTAGCAAAAGTGTCACTAACAAGGTTTTAATGAATACTGTAAACAGAATTTTTTGTTGGAGTAGCAACTGTATGTTTCTTTCAGTTGAAAGAAGAGGAAAGGTAAACAAGAAAACTGCTCTATACTGTTTGACTCTATTCGACAAAAACAACCAAAAGACCTGTCGATTTATAGCCCCATCCAAGCTCTTAATGACTCACAACACCAGCCTCCAGCAATTGAGACGGCTCATCAGTTTAATTACTTTACAACTTGGGTCCACCCCTTTCTGTCTAAAACCTGGCACTGGAAGCATTGCCCTGCTCTTGTTAGTATTCCACAAGAAATTCACTTTTGCACTGCACTTTACAACGCTACATGTAAAATGTGACTAAGGCTTAAGAAGCAGAAAGGATGAATGGAAGACGGCGCCAACAACAAATTCATTCACTATCTATTCATATTCAATTTAAAAGTATAGCAGTGGTATGGAAAAGGGCTTAAAGAAATAAAGTGCAGATACTACAGGACCATTTCTTGATTGCTCCAGTTGCGATTGTCATTACAGTAAACCGATTTCCTGATTTTATGTTAGTCTTTTATGAATTCCGTTTTTTCATTAAATTACTTAGACACATCATGTTAGCAAAGTGATATAAATACATTGATGGTAAGTCACATTGTTAGAAAATAAACTTATAGAAGTGATGACTGTTACCTTTAAAATTCTTAATGAGCATTTTTAGTAGGGAAAAGCTATATAAAAAGTTATATTATCTATTTTTATTGGTGGGACGCTCTACTGGTCCATCGTGGTGAAACGAGAGCTGAGCGTAAGAGCGAAGCTCTCAAGTTACTGGTTGATCTACGTCCCTACCCTCACCTTTGGTCATGAGCTGTGGGTAGTGACCGAAAGAATGAGATTGAGGATACAAGCGGCAGGAATGAGCTTCCTCCGAAGGGTGGCTGGCCTCTCCCTTAGATATAAGGTGAAGAGTTCGGCCATCCAGGAGGGGCTCAGAGTAGAGCCGCTGCTCCTCCACATCGAAAGGAGCCAGTTGAGCTTGTTCGGGCATCTGACAAGGATGCCTCCTGGGCGCCTCCTGGGTGAGGTGTTCCAGGCATGTCGGACCAGGGGAAGGCGCTGGTGCAGACCCAGGACACGCTGGAAAAATATCTCTCGGCTGGCCTGGGAACACCAAGGCCAGCTGAAAGAAGTGGCCGGGGAGAGGGAGGTCTGGACTTTTCTGCTTAGGCTGCTGCCCCGGCGACCCGGCCCCGGATAAGCAGAAGAAGATGGATGGATGGATGGATGGTTTTTTATTTCATTTCATTTGTTGGCAGTTTGAAGGCTGATCTATCTAGTTTCTCACTCTCTCTTGATTCATACTCCAAAATATGAAAGTGTTGGAGATATCACAGTTATATACAGTATAAAACACATGGAAAATGAGAAGGATTAATATTTGCATGAATGCATAAACGAAGGCTTGAATGTGGCATTAATAGTGTAGTGCAAGTCTACTACCATCTGCTTACCATGCACCCAGATGAGTCTAACTGTCGATCAGACACACACTTGAAATTCTTTTTGCAGCCACCATTATCTTTAGAGCAGTCACGGGCAGGTCCAAAAGATGCCAGTAGGTCCTCTACATTTTCAAAGTATGTGGACATCATGGCCTCTTCCCTGAAATTGAAGAAAGTAAGGGTTACAAGAAGAAAGTTCAGTTATCGTTGCGTATGTTTTAACACTACAATTTTTTTTATTATTATTAGTCCTTTATTTATCCAGGTAAAACATCTCATTTCCAACAGAGACCTGGCATCATGGCAACAAACGTAAAAAAAAATTAATTAAATAAAATTAAATTCAAATGAAAATTTATTTTATAAAATTATACTTCTCTCCTATTTTTCCACAATCAACTATAAATGCCATTATTGCAAAATGGAAGCATTTAGGAACCACAACAACTCAACCACACAGTGGCAGACCATGTAAAATCACAGGGCAGGCTTGAAACACTCTGCTTGTTCCAAATCGCCTCCAGCATTAACATCAGCAGAAAAACTGAGCGCCTGGAGCTTCATGGCATTGGTTTCCATGTCTTCTGTAGGTGTAATATGTAGGCGGCCCAGTACTTCTGTCCATATAATGTACCTGGGGCACTCTACCAGGTGAAGTACAGGACCACCGCTCTAACCTAATCACACAATTATTAGATATTTCACTCACAACCAGAAATGTCGAAAGATTTAAAAGATGGCCAAAGTAAGCAAGTTTTATCCACTGTATGCTATAAATGTCTGACATGCAGACAGACAGACATTTCCATTCTTACAGAAATGCCACTACCACGTTAACAAAACTAAAAAAAAAAAAAAAACTCAAGTATGTTTTCAGGTCAGTTTGTGATGAAGTCTGACTTGAGATCCCCACATATGCATATATATATATGTGTCACTGACAGTAGTGCGATCATTTCCACTGCCAAATGTGGCACACCAAAGCTGCAAGCTCATTGCTCTGTGCAGTTTAGCATGCTCCGCCATGCCTATATGCTTTATGTCTACTATCAGAGGAAAAGAAGGGGCAAGCAAACCCCATGTTTTTGTTTGAAAGGAAACAAAGCACTATCTCTTGCAATGGGACCACAGGGACCACAGTGTGTTGTGAGGGTGACTTGACTTTAGAAACAGCAACAAGATTTTGAATGATAGGAAGACAGATGACTTGCTTTAGGAGGAGGATTGTGAAGTAATGTCACTACGGCTATCTTTCTATGTCTTTGCATGTGTATTTAGGCACCATTGAATCAGTAACTGATACATTGATTTTACTGTTCACTGAATTAAAATGTCCAACATAAGCCATCTTTAAAGTGGGTATAAACCATCAAAAAGTAATTTATCTCTTGGAAGTGATAGTGAAAAAAATATGAGAAAAATACTACATTTGACCTTCACAACTTTAAGAGAAAATAAAATGCAAAGCCTCAAAAAAATATCTATGAACGTTCAATGAAAAGCATCTTATTGATGTAAGCGAGAATTTATGGACAAGATATTAGACACAGTCTATCCACCTTTTCACTGAGGCAATATGATTTCTTTTTCATAGCGTCTGCTATCAAGATTTGGAATAACTCTTTCGATTAAGGGACTGTTTAGGTTTAATAACTGTTTTCAATTTAGTTTCACTGTATGCTACATATGGAAAATAATTGGCACATTTTTCTCGTGGTGCAGTACTATGGTTCACTGACTGACACATTGGGACTGTCTACTTTGCAAATTTAAAATGTTTCTGACATAGTGTGGCAGTAGCAAATGACTCGCTGTCCTCGCTGTCACACATACTGAATGTTAAATACAAAACTCTAGCAAAATAGCTCTAATAAGAAACCTGTTTTATCTAAACAGCTTTATCTATTTATTTATTTTTATTTATTATATTTATTTTATTTGTTTATTTTATTTATTTTCTATAGGTGAAATCTAAATGTAAGGTATCTTTCCAGCTACATGCTGATCATTTTAACGTTCATATGGGGCGACCATGGTTCAGGTGTTGGGAAGCTCATCTTGTAACCGGAAGGTTGCCGGTTCGATCCCCAGCTCTGTCTGCCTTGGTCGTTGTGTCCTTGGGCAAGACACTTCACCTACCGCCTACTGGTGATGGCCAGAGGGGCCACAGACTGTAGCTACAACTGTAGCTTGCCTCCAGTGTATGAATGTGAGAGTGAATGAATAGTGGAATTGTAAAGCGCTATATAGTCCATTATTATATAATTATGTATACATATGGACCGTTTGATGTGAACTTTTACAGCAGCTGAACGTTTTCACATTTCTTTGTTTACTGGTGGTACATTTTCAGATATTTTGATGCTTATAGTTGTAGATAAGTATTGTAGCCATTGGAAGCAGTAATATCCACTGTCAGTCCTACGCAGCTGTCATTTATTTATAACACAAAGAAAACAAAAAGAAAGTTTAGGAACAGTATTTAAATGTCTTTTTAATTAGTTGACAAAAACACATGGGTTTGCCAAAAGTGACTTAATTTGTGCTATAAATTGAGCAAAGCAGTCGACTGCTATGAAGTTCATTTTCTTTTGTCTACCTCGAGTACAAGAACGCCCACACATCCTGGATGCACATTTGAACGGAGGAGGACTCCATTCGAACAAACTTAGATCTCGTTCTTACAACGAAAGGTGCCTGAACTGCATCAACTGTTTCACTGTGGAAGAGTGGGATGTGAAAGCCAAGATATTTAATTGTTATTATCCAGAGAAAGAGCAGCAGGCTTGAAGAGGACCTCAATCTCAACTCTCCACATTGAAAGTTTAATTATTTTGGTAAAAAAAGGATTATCAAGTGAGGGACAAAAAAACAAAAACAAATAGAAAGTTAGAGCTTTGCCAAACAGTTCCAATATCTTTGAAGATTATGGTCAGGTTAATTATTTATAACTACTCCTTACTCCTTCTGGAGGGTTCATCGGGGTGTCCGTTTGGCCTTAGGCACAGGGACTCTGACAAATGATTCTCTGCACACTAATTATATACGCAGATCCATGCAGTCTGAAAACCAACCAGGAAACAAATATGTATTTTTCTCTTTTACACACATTTAGTGTGCTGGAATTACTGAGGAAAAAACTCTGGGACATGATGTCACTAAACGTACTTCACATACCTAAAAGAACCTCACGTTACCTTTTTGTTCATTTTTTTTTCTTAAGCAATCTCTTTCTTAAGAAAAGCAAGGCAATGATTATCTTACAAGAAGGTCCACTGTTCCAGAGCCAAGGACACTGCAAGTCAAACGGTGGGATCACTGCAACACCTAATCGGCAAAGAGTAGACAGCTGTTGTCATTGAGAAAATGGCAAGGAAGTTCGCCATTACAACATCGACTTTAACGACCCTTTGGGGAAGGTGCCTAATTTAGTGTGTGAAGTTGAGAGGTACCAACAAAATGCAGTTGGGCTCAACATTATTCACAGCTTTGGCTCTGGAACCAACTCCTTGATAGACGGTGGACTCGGTCCTACACAGGAATTGTCCATCGTGAGATTTGCCAGATCGATGTGGGTACTACTGACAAATCACCGGCTGGGTGCTGCACAGTTGGACTTTCTCCAGGTGGATGTGAGGGTCACCATCATGTGGCTGCATAATGCAGAGAGAAAAACTATTACAGCTGTTTGCGCATATGTGCTTATTTTTTGGATGGTAAGTAACAAGGATTTTCATGAACCAAAAATCCAGGCAAACAGTGGAGAAAGAGTTTGCCAAAGTGCAGCAGAAGCTAAATGGTATATTTATTTCATAATATTTTGGATGTTAAAAATTCATTTATGTATATTACAAATACTTAAAACAGCATCAAGAGTGCTATAAAGTTATATGTTACAAATAATTAAAACACTCTTGTTGACAGGGCCTGTTATCCTTGGATTGACGTTTCAGTTTGTAAAGCTTTGACATTTGAAACTGTAGTGGTTGAAGATATCTCTATAGCACTTTTTATGCAAGCATATAAAGACCAACCTTTTCCCCCATCCACTAGACCCAGTAACCCTTCATTTATGAAATGTAGACCTTGCATAACATCACACTCATCTTTAGTGGGCAGTCTGGATTAAAGGGCATGGTTGGTTATTAATAAAAACTGAATTTGTTGGATGCACATGCCACACTCCTTAGCAGGAAACATGAGTCACCTTGGATACTAAAAGACGCTCTGCTTGTTCGGCTTTTGAGTGAACATGGTGTATATGCCTGAAAAAAGGGCAGTAGGTGCAGATACATGGTTTATTTTGTATACCGAATATATACAAGGTAGGGAAATAGAATTTAAATTTACATCTTGTATGCTCCCATTATGCAGCTCTATCTGCTAAACTGTGCAAAACTTTAGCCAACCCTGATTTATTTATGTTTCACTTGGAAAATAGGAAACAAGTGCAGCAGTTTCTTTATGATTTATTACTTATTGAAACATGGTCAAACATAAATTGGAATGCAGTATATAAGACAAAAATGAATTTGCATAATTCAAGCAAGTTTGAAAGTCAATATTTGGTTTACGCACCTTTATTTTTCAATATATCCTGAACTCTCTTAGCCAAGCTTCTTGTAATTTCTTTAGGTATTCAGAAGCAGTTGTAAACACTCACTCCTCTACCTCTCTCATCACTCATCACTCCATTATACATGTTGTCAGTGATTTACCGACTAGTTTGGAATAGTTCAGTCTTTCCTTTTGTTCCTTTTGTTTCACTCCCTTAGGTTCTGGATAGCCACCTTTCCACTGACACCATTTCCTATGAGGCTTCAGTGAACATTGGTGGATGAATGAGCAGAAGAGGGAGATTGATCTCACATGTCCTGTGTCAGGTCTTTGCTGGATTGTGTCCTATTTCTTATGGACATCACATTTAGATACTGCTCATTTGCTTTTTTTTATGCCTGCGCCTTGCCACAGTTTCAGTTTATAGGTGTTTGGGAAAAACCTCGTTGGCGCAAAAATACCATTTTATGCCTGTAAACTGAGTTATCTTTTTTGTTGATTTTGAACCAAAACTGGTTCATTATGCTCGAATGATTCACAGGCTGGCAATAGGTGGCTTAGCAAACAAACCAACAAGCAAACGAAAAAGACATTCCTGTGAAA